TTTCAACCTCGAGGCCGATGGGGCAGATCATTTGCTTGGCCAGGTATGTCTTTTCTGGCAACTTGTTTTTTCTAGAAGCATTTTTCTTATTATACCTGACAACTGATCGAAGCCTTTATTGCTCAATCCGTTTGTCGATTTGAACTCTAACAGCATGATGTCAGCTTCTAATTTGCTCATTGGACAATTCTTATACAATGGTGTTTTGCCATCTTTTCTCATTTTTTCTAGCTTTCTCAGTTGTCTTTCACTAAGATATTCGGTCTCTACATTACATAGCAGCTGAGAAATGCCATCGTTATCCTCGGTGTCGTTAACTAGCGTGTTCCTAAACACATCAATAACTGTGGCCATAGGTTCCGTGTTGACAATAGGTTCCTCTTTGGCATCGTTGATGGCTACGTCAGGCATGGCCACATCATCATTGTTTTCCTGTGGAACATTCACACCAACCTCATAATGCATAGTCCATATTGTACAGTTTGGCATGAACCCCTGGCAATCAAGTGCATTCGTACAGACTCAATTTGAGCCCATTTCCTTTGATTCATGCAATCTTTGCATGGGCAGAAGATAGGGTTTCGATTCCTAGCATGGGCTTTGGCATTGGTCATAAATTGGCTGATGCCATGCATGTACCGCTTGCCGTTCTAATGCAGATGCATCCACTGCCGATCCATCTTCTCACAAAAAAATATTGAGATAGTAATTACAGAGAAATTAATAAGAAGTCGAGCTTTATGAACAATTGTAGCTCGAAAGTACCATTTATTCTACACTTATTTAATTTAGTCACCCTATTTTTGGAAAATATTACTATACACTAATCATTGGAAAATTAAAATTGTAGCCCCGGCTATATAAATTGAAAATCGTAGCCCCATAAAAAACAATTATTGAACAATAATGAAGAACAATTATTCTACTTGATGACATAAAAATGGAGACACTAATTTTTTAAAAAAGACTAAAATTGGAGACATGACCATGGACAACAATGTAGCTCCAAACAATGTTTTGATAGGTGACACATGGATTAATTTGCTCGCCAAAATTGTAAAAGTATCTACTCTACTCTTATCAAGAACTAATTATAGCATCACATACTAACAATGATCTTGACCACCATGTAATTAGCTAGGATTTTAAATGTGTTCAAAGACACCAACCTTTTGGATGATGGAATCACCACAATTTGCTTGGAAGCCTTGCACAGAGTCCAATTAAAAAAGTGCTCTCTAGAATAGAGAAAGAACTAGAATGAGAATCAAGCAATGTAACCATCAAAACAACGCTAATTAAGCAACAAAATCAAAGGAGTGGATGCTTGTTACTAACCTTAAAGCAAAAAAATCAAGCCATTCTTCCAAATCCAAGAGCTAGCTTCATAGTGAAGAGCAGCCGGAACAATGGAGGGAGCGGCCCAAACGCACGCCTCTATGCTCAGGATGGAAGAGAGGAGGAAGGAGAGGACGGCGCTAGCTTTTTGTACTGCTATTTTATCACCGTCAGTTCTTGGCTCGAACCGATAGTGATAGCACCAAATCACTGTCGGCTCTTGGATAGAACCGGCAGTGATATGTGGCCACCAACTCACTGCCGGTGCAAGCCACAAACCGGCAGTGATGTGGTCCTTCACTGCTAGTTTTAACCCAACCCCAATCATTTTCTCATTTTCAAGCTCAGAACTAGCAGTGAAGGTACATCACTGACGGATTCATTGCCGGTTCTGACAAATCCGGCAGTGATGAGGCCGACAGTGATGTCCAATTCTGTAGTAATGATCATAGTGATCAAGCATGAATTTGATCCATGTAATAAACTTTGTTGCTTGTGTGTGTTGTTCACACTTTGTTGCGTACTAGTGCTAGTGGTTAATATATTAATGAAATAATAATATCGAGGTAGAGGAAAAATAAAAAATGTTTCATGAACAGACCAAACTACGCTTATATCTTCATATCCTTTCTCGTGTGATGCCATCTTCTCTCATCAATCCCCTAGAATTTATTTTCTACAGAAAAACATGCTCATGTGTTGCATCATGATGTGTACAACTTGTTAAATGGTCACCTAGGCAACTTATCAACCCACGTACAGTAGGGATGGCAATGGGCGGTTTATATTACATAATAAATTTGTGTGTTGATGAAGGAGCAATCCGAGGAGCTCCGACCTGAAACCGCGTACACAATTTCATGAAACACGCAATTTTTATATCACACAGTATATTATATAATAAATTTGTTCTAAGTTGCGTCATGAAATTGTGTACGTGGGGGTTGCAACACACATTTTTTATATGACACAATATATTACATAATAAATTTGTTCTAAGTTGCCCGTGCAATTGTGTGTTGTTTATTGCCTCTTGTCTATACAAGTGAATATGTAATATATATCATGCATATGTTGCTAAAAATTCCTTATTATTTTTTTTGTATTGCCGGTGGATTTCAGGTTTCAGGTAACCAATCGGGTTTCAGGGATCCACCGGGTTTCATATCGGGTTTGGATTATCACCCAAACCGGTGTTCGGGGCGGTTTCGGGTTTCTAGTTTGCGTTTTGGGTTTGGATCCGCGAAGGCTCCACCCGATCCGAATCCGCGCCGTTGCCATCCCTAATGTACACTCTACCATATCCTCATGAGTACCTCCAAAAAACTAAGCTGACAAATCATAAGATTAACTAAGTCAGCATAGGTGCCTCGATGTCAACGCGTATATCACTTACCACTGAAGAATAGCTAGCGTTCTTAAATTCTGAAATAAAATCTATGAAAATACAATCACCACTACTAAAGATTGATTTATAGAGATGCCTGTATTTTTTATCAGAGGTGGCTCAATCTGGAACCACCTATAAAATGGATTTAAAAATGAGCCGCCTCTAGAAACTATTTTTTACAAGCGGTTGGTATTTTTAACCGCCTCTAAAAATGCTCTATTTTTTGAGGTAGCTCTAGATTCGGTCTCCTCTAAAATAGATTTCTAGAGGCGCCTATATCTAGAGCTGTTTCTATAAAGGATCTAGAACCATCTTTAAAAATAGTTGTAACACAGTAAAATTCATAACTTAAAGTTAAGCGACGACAAACTTTATACCAAAGTTATATATCTCGAAGAGATCTACAACTTTATAATTGACAATATTTTTATTTGAAATCATTTCAATCCCATAAGTTCGGTTTCAAGCTCTCACATTTTGGAATCCATTTTTTTTTTAGTTTTCCAAACGATCTCGGATGGAAAAACGACCAAAATCAAAGTTTTAGATTTCAAAAAGATATAAAACATTGTAGTTGTGAACTTTTCTATTTGAAATAATCTAGGACCCAAAATTTAGTTTGAATTTCTCGCATAATGAAATTCAAAAATTTAAAACAGTCTCAGATGGAAAAACGACCACCAATGTCGTAGATCTCATTGAGGTATAAAACTTTGTAGATGACAACTTTTTCATTTAAAATCATTTGTACAAGAAAAATTATGTTTGAATTTCTCACATTTAAAATTCAAAATTTCCAAATGACCTCGGATGGAGAAAGGACCAAAATCAAAGTTGTAGACCTCTTAGAGCTATACAACTTTGTAGTTGACAACTTTTTCATTCGAATTTATTTGGAGTTCCAAATACTCATTTCAAAATTGGGTAATGTGAATACGAAAGGAATGTTGTGCCCTTTAGTCACGAATGACTTTGAGGTGGAGTTGTTAGTGTTAATATGCATGAAGCCTGAGGTTGCAGGTTTGAACCCCCATAGTTGCTCACGTGCGGTCGTTGTTACCGTCCATGAGTTGTATCCTGTGCTCCCATATATACTCCTATCTAAAAGAAACCATTAAAATATGTATGAAAAAATGTACTAAAAATACGTATGGATACATGATGCAAGATGCATGCTCATGAAAAATTTGGTGATCCAACAATGTTTTATTCAAGGAGAAGCAAAAAAGAGAAATCAGCCTACAATACAAGCGGGTTGCAGTGTGCCGGTGTCCAGATGAATTGTTCACTCAGACCCAATCGCAGGCTGATTTTCTGTTTTCTTTTGTTTCTTCTAGATGAACAGTTCGTTTTGTTGAATCTCAAATTTTGTATGGACATGCATCTCTTTGCCTCATGCATCCATACATATTTTAATATAAAATTGTTTAGAGTATTATAAATATTCTTGTTCACAAAAAAGAGTCTTAAATATTCATTTTAAATTCTTTGATTTTAAAATTTATTTTTAAAAAAATCAAATAACCTTGATTGAAACATGCCCCCATACTAAAGTTGAGGGCTCGACGAGAACTTACACTTTAAAGTTTTTTTTAGATCATTTAGAGGCCTAAATATTTAATGAAAACTGTTAAAGTTAATAAAAAATAGCATTCTATATTTGGTAACAAGTATTTGTGTGGTATATTTTAAGAGAGGAGTGATGCGGCTTTCGTTCAGTTAAAAGTTTGAATATAATACTAGAAAATCTACACACACGAAGTTAATGCGAAAAATTGATCGCAGTGCTGAGTTGGTAAACAAAAGTCTATGTTTTTGTCATTTTTCTGTTTCTAAAAATCATTAACAACGGAGACTGTTCTTGGGCTATCTCGTGTTCCTCGTGTCTACGGGTTGTCTCTTTCCCCAACTCGTGTGCTTCTTCTAAAATCATTAACAACTTAACTCGTGTGCCTCGTGTCTCTAGCTAGATTGCACAAATTTATACCATCTTATTATTAGAGACTGTTCTTGGGCCAAGCACCTAGCTCGCAGACTGTTCTTTGGCCTCCTCGTGTTCTTCGTGCCTAGGGGTTGTCTCTTTCCCCAACTCTGTGCTGAGTTAGTGGAGTTGTCTCTTTCCCCAACTCGTGTGGTTCATGCAACTCGTGTGCTATCAGCGCCGTAAACAAATTTATATATATTATTATATTATTAGAGACCAACTTGATCATCATGAATTATATATATGAAGGGCACGTCAGTTTGGAGATACGGAGCTGTCTGTAATGCAATGGCTACCTTCTCCTTCAAAATACCACTGCACCGCAGTAACAGCAGCAGGAGCTACCATGTTATTGCTGCCTCGGAATCGCAGTTGCTCAGGCGATCCCGAAGCATTCCATGGAGTTGGCAGAAGCAGCAGTGGCGGCAGCAAACAAGGTTGCAATGCCGCCAACTGCAGCAGGATACCAACCCAAGAACAGAGCAAGATCTTGACGAGGGTGACAGCCGTCTGAGGCAAAATACCAGCACTTTCCACCCATCTATATGGGGAGATTTCTTCCTTGGCTACTCCAACCCAGCTGCAGCTTCATCGCAACAGCAGGTCTGTAGATGTATTTCCTTCGCTTTTTCTATTTACCTATAATATATATAGAGTTAAATGCACTAGAAATCCATTGGAGATTCAGATGGAACAATATTAAGCAGATTCAGATGGAAGAACGAGCGGACAAACTTAGGGAAGAAGTGGCCGAAATGATAGCAAGTTCAACTACTACTGCTAGTAGGCTGCACCTCATAGATGCATTGGAGCGTCTATGCTTGGATCACCTGTTCGAAGAAGAGATCTGTGCTGCACTTGCACAGATGGAGACCGCTGATGTCAGTGGCTACGATCTTGGGACAGCAGCATTGTGGTTTTGTCTACTTCGGAAACATCGATACAGGGTCTCACCAGGTAGCAACGAACATATATATATTTATATATATATACAGACACACACTGCATGCAACTTACGTTTCAAGGTTTCCAATAATAATTAGCATCGTCATTAAAACTGCTCTTGCCGTGAAAGCTTGCTAAAACACCCAGTAGCGGATCCAGCCAAAATTCCACTGATGTCATAAGTACTACGTCATGGCTTAAGTTCACGTATGAGCATCAATTTGCAATGAAAATCTCAGGAAATCATTGCTGTCATCTGACAGCAATGAACAGGGCTGGCTCCGCCCCTGAAAACACCCATCTAAAAAATTACCCCTTGAGTCTTGTAGAGTCGGAACCATTTTTGTACTAAGAGCTAGAGTTATGTCGGAGCTGCAAAAAGATGGCTTGTTTCAGCTCCTCCTCACTAACTTGACATAAATAATTACAAATTAAAACTACCATTAAAGCCGTTTTTGCAAAAACATTTTTGCTTCAACTTAGCCAAAGAAACTTTTCCATAAGAGGAGCCAGAGCTATTTTAGAAAAAAACCAAAGCCCAATCAAGCTAGAGTTTAAGGCCACTTTTGGTATGGCTCCAAACAGCTTTGGCTCCTTGCTACAACCAATGAAGGAGCTAGATTCAATGACGCTAACTATAATGGCTCCACCAGCTCCTAGTTTATTTTGAGAGGAGAGAGATAACTACTCCTCACTACTGTGCACGGAGGAGCCAGAGCCACCCGGAGCTCACAGGGCCTAACTACCAAATTGATAGGCATGCATAAATTGCATGGCAAAAAAATATATATATATATATATATATATATATATATATATATATATATATATATATATATATACACACACACACACACACCTAATACAACTTTAAATTATACTTTCCATGTTCATTTCACTCCCGTATCTAGCTATCGAATTTATGACTTTATTAACATTTTAGTCAAAGAATGTTTTAATATTCACGACCTTGACATATGGAGCCGTAGTGTATATCCTCCTATATATATGGTTCAACCTTATACAATTCTTCTAATTCTTGAAACTTGAGCTGAGAGACTATGTGTCCTGTTTCAGATGTGTTTGTGAGGTTCCAAGATGAAGAAGGTGGTTTTCTAGTGGACGGTCCTAAAGACCTACTGAACCTTTACAATGCTGCGCATATGAGGACTCATGGAGAGAGAGTACTTGAGGAAGCCATGCTATTCAGCCAAAGGTGTTTAGAAACAATGATACCCTACATGGAAGGGCCATTAGCACGTGAAATAAAATCTACACTTGAGATCCCTCTCCCTAGAAGAGTTAGAATTTCTGAGTCAAAGTATTACATCTCTGCGTATGAAAAAGATGCCACGGTGCATGAGAAGGTGTTGCAACTTGCAAAGTTGAACTCAAATATTATGCAGCTCCATCACCAACATGAGCTGGCTATCATTACAAGGTGAAGTAACTCTTCTCATTACAAATTTCTTACCTAACTATATTTCAATCTATTACAAACCAGTTACATTGCTGATAATATTATCTCTAATAAATTTATAGGTGGTGGAAGGATATACAGATTGAATCAAGGCTTCCATTTGCTCGAGATAGAGTCGTGGAGTGCTATTTGTGGATATTAGGGGTATACTACGAACCATCTTATTCACGAGGCGAATAATATTAACAATGATTATCGCCATTGTGACCCTTTTGGATGATATTTATGATTCTTATGCAACTCCAGAAGAATGTGAGTTACTTACCAAGTGCATTCAAAGGTTTGTATTGCTTCCCTTTCTTAAAAATCTTTATCTTAGGTTCACTAAAGTACTTCTATGCCTATCTTTACTGTTAAATTTCCATAGACGAATAAAGAAAAATCTATGTTACTTTTTCTAGCTCTAAGGTTATATGTATGTGTGGGTCAAAGTTCTTTATATATATGATGTTGGAAAAAAAATCAACTACATATATTGTTTCCTTGAGGTGACCACTATAAATAGGAATGAGTCACGTTTTTTTGGTTAATCTTTGGCTTAGTTCATTCATGTCATCATACATGGAAACATCCATCTAGCTAGGGGGAAATCCCAACAAATGCAGACAAAAAGATGAATTTTGAATTTTCAAAAAGGAGAACTCAAACCAAATATCTGGCCACTAAACTATATTAAACAAAAAAAATATCTGCAAATTTGTAGATTATGTCGAGAGAAATAATGTTGGTATAGACCATGTCAACATCCGAGGTAGTTTGAAAGTTAACAATTTTGAGTTTCAAAATTTGAGAATTTAGAATGGATATTTTAGGATTATAAAATGTCTCAAATCAAAAACTTGTCAACTAGGAAGATATAGATCCCATCAAGAGCCAAAACTTTGATATATAACATGTCAATTTTCGGCATCTAATTGAAAAATGATAATTTTGAATTAAAAATATGAGATTTAAAACAAATATTCGGATCTCCAAATTGATCTGAAATAAAAAGGTTGTCGTCTACAAAATTGTAGATGGTGTTGAGAACTACAATTTTGATATAAGTTTGTCTTTATCTGACTTCAGATGAGAAGGCTATAGATTCTTTGTGTGAGAGCCATTTACAAAGGCAGAAGACGCACCTCTAGAAATAGCCACATTATTTACGGAAGCGATTTCTTAAGAGACTTGCCTCTGAAAATTTATTTCTAGAGGTAGGCCATGGCTCTTGTGCCCTAATGATTTCTAGAGACATTAGACCAAAAGGCCCACCATTGTAAACAAACTCTAGTGTCACAAAATTGTTTTTGTAGTAGTGAGTGTGTTTAACGAATAATAACATAGTTGAACTGTTGAAAAGTACCTGCATGTATGTAGTAACATTTTTCTATCATAGTGATCATATAGAACTCACAAGTTTTTGTGAATTGTCATGTCCAGCTGGGATTCAAAGGGGGCTCATGACCTCCCTGAGTGCATGAAATTTGCTATGGAGAAAATATTGGATAGCTACGAAACCATTGAAAATATGCTCCACCAGGAGGAGAAATATCGTATGCCATATCTAAGATACTTTGTAAGTTACCTTCCTCGTCTACATGTTTCAACTTTCTAGGTCTATATATGAATGATTGTCCATGATACCATAAGGTATATGTATTTGGCCAGTAGCCTTTGCATGCTAACTTGACGTACTCGACCTAGCTTTTTGATATGTGATACAAATGCATATATTCACTATTGTCGATTATTTACAGACAAAAGGCCTGGTTAGAAGCTTCAACAAGGAGGTAAAAATGCTTCAAGAAGGATACATTCCTAAGTCTGTTGAGGAGCATCTAAAGGTTTCAATAAGAACAGGCGGATGTCCCATTTTGTCGTGTGCTTCCTTCGTTGGGATGCATGATGTAGCGACAGAGGATTGCTTTGAATGGGTTTCTAGTGTACCTAAAATGGTCCAGGCACTTTCTGTGATTCTCAGACTGGTAGATGACCTTGAGTCATACGAGGTAATATCCAATTATTATTTATCTTAAAAAATATATGATAAACTTTGAAGCCTAATAGAAGGCTCATAATTCCCATTTTTAGTTTCGAATTTGACTTTGATATTTCTCACATAACATTGCTTTATACAATAAAGCGACATAGAGGGAATTTTCTGATAACCTAATTGCATTATTACAAAAGGTGTTTCTATACATCGTGAAATTAGCTTCCTGTAGGCTGTGCAAACCGTCAGTGAGAGCTCTGCTATGTTGACCGCCTCTGGAAAGCTATTTTCAGTGGCAGTTTTTTGCCATGTTCCACTTTGGCTTACTGCGCCAGCAGCAGCAATTTCTAACCGCCAGCACATGATGCCTCGATCATCTCAAAATCGTTTTTAGTAGTATATACTATTATGATATTGCTTTCCATGAGCTTGCCTACCTTTATCTTACTAATATATTTGAATACTCAACTTTGTTCAGCGAGAGCAACTGATCCCTCATGTTGCTTCAACAATCGATAGCTACATGAAGGAGCACAATGTCTCGATTGAAGTTGCACGTGAGCAGATACACGTACTCAAAGAGGAATCATGGAAAGATTTTAACAGCGAGTGGCTTAACCCAGCCAATAATGCCTATCCAAAGCAAATACTGGAGAGGATATTCAACTTGACGAGGACGATGGAATTCATGTACAACCAAGAGGACAATTTCACAAACTGCCGCAATCTAAAGGATTTGATCCAATTGTTGTTGTTGGCCGAACCATTTACGATTACCATTTAGCTAGCACTATGTGCCATTGTAAGAAATAAATTATTACTGTCTAATTTATATGTATAAGGTTGGATTACCTCATCCCCTTGCACACTTGTTAGATTGAAGACTACAGTGGCTTGTTTTAGTCATAACATAAGCTCAAACACATAAAGGTCAATCCCAAAAGGGAAGATCTTCATATTTGAAAATTACTGGATGAAACTTGAGGGATTCCAAAATGTTGTACATAATAGTTGGGTCAGTCCAACACAACGTATGGACAGTGCAAAAAAAACATATCAGCAAAGTTCAAGAACTTGAGGAAAATCTTGAAAGGTCTGGCAATTTAGAATGACAAAACCTCAAAGCCAACATTGCAAATGTCAAGCTCTTCATATAGCTCCTAGAGAACCTTGATGAATTCAGAGACCTAGGTGTGCCTAGATGGAATTTCAAAGACATTTTAAAAGACAAGCTGCACCTTCTGCTCAAACAACAAAAAATTTAATGGAAACAAGGAGGGACAATAAAATGGGCTAAATTTGGAGATGCAAATACTAAGTTTTTTTATGCAAATGCAACTATCAAATACAGGAAAAAGCTGAAGATAGCGCACCTCCTACACCAATGACAAAGACAAAGAGATTCTTTTGTGGGAAGCCATCAAAGAATGGCTAGGGTCCTCTGAATTCTCTGGCTTCTATTTTGACACGTAATCATTCATTGACAAAGCAAACTTTCTTGAGGTCCTGTAACAAGACTTTACTGAGTCATAAATAGATACTATGATCAAAGCTCTAACCAATGACAAATCACCAGGCCCAGATGGTTTCAACAATGAATTTCTTAAAAGATGCTAGCCAATTATCAAAAATGATTTCTATCAACTATGTCATGACTTCCAACCAAACTCATCATTATGTCTCTGAAGCATAAACAACTCCTTCATAAGCCTCATTCCAAAGATTGATGGAGCTCAAAGCACTTCTGATTTCAAGCCTATCTCAGTGTTAAACACCTCAGTTAAGATCCTGACAAAACTCTTAGCAAATAGAGTATAGAATTTCAACACTAGACTGGTTCACCAAAACCAATATTGTTTCATCAAACAAAGAACAATTCAAGATTGCCTAGCCTGGTCATTTGAATATCTACAACTTTGTCAACACTCAGAAAAAAAAGAAATTGTTGTCCTAAAGTTGGACTTTGAAAAGGCATTTGACAAAATTGAACACCAAGTAACCTTGCTAAAAGCAAGAGGCTTTGGAGATAAATGGGTAGCTTGGATAGAACAGATCCTCTCTTCAAGGCCCTTTTTTTGTTTTATTGAATGGGGTGCCAGGAAAAACTACCATTGCAGAAGAGGGGTCAGGCAAGGTGATCCACTTTCTCCCTTGCTCTTTGTTTTGGCTGCTGATCTCTTATAGTCCCTGGTTAACAGAATAAAGGATACGGGTCTTTTGAAACTACCAATTCCATTGAAGCACAACAAAGATTTTCCAATTCTATAATACATAGATGACACTCTGATTATCCTAGAAGGAGAGGCCACACAGCTCTTTTACCTTAAATCCCTCCTCAACTCCTCTGCTTCCACTGGGCAGAAAGTCAACTTCTTAAAATCCATTTTTGTGCCAATAAATGTCTCTGATGAAAAACTAGAACACTTGGCCAAGACTTTTGGTTGCAAAAAAGGAACCCTACCCTTCACTTATTACTTGGACCTCCCCCTTGGAATCACAAAGCCTAAGGTGGAAGACTTTCTCCCGATGGTAAACAGATATGGGCATAGACTAGCCAGTGCTTCCACTTTTCTTTCACAAACTGGTAGACTTGAGCTAACAAACACAGTGTTCTCCTCAATGCCAACTTTCTACTTGTGCACACTAGCTCTGTCCCTATAGTGATCAAACAAATGGATAAGTACATGAAACGTTGTCTTTGGAGAGGGCAGAGGTGAATGCCAGAAAACCACCCAAAGCAGCTTGGGATATGGTATGTTTACCCAAGAATGAGGTGGCCTGGGAGTTTTAAATTTAAAAAAGCAAAATGAGGCCCTAATGATGAAAAATCTGTTAGCTAATCTACTGCCACGTTGTGTGAAACACAGCAGAGGAAGGCGGTGCCGACTTTGCCCCCTGCTGTAATACAGTAGCCGCTGTAGGTGCAGGCGCCGCATGGCTCACCTGCAGCACTGTAGGCACATGCAGTGGCCGGCGCAGAGTCAGCCCTGTATACTTATCTAGTTACTGTTACAATATGTGCGCTGTACTTTAGTTAGATAGATAGAGTTGTATAAATAGGGCACCAAGGCAACTCAGTAAAGAGAGCTCAGATTTGCCATCACACAGATAGGGTCTCGACCAACGTTGTTGTCTTATATTCTGCGTGCTTGCTCTGTTCTCCCTTCTTCTTCTAGCTCGATCGGAGAGTGTGTGGGTACAGACACAACTGATATAGTGGTCTGGGAGACTAGTGGTCTGGGAAGACTAGTGGTCTAGTCTGGGAGACTAGTGGTCTGGGAGACTAGTGGTCTGGGAAGACTAGTGGTCTGGGAGACTAGTGATCTGGTCTGGGAGACTAGTGGTCTGAGACTTGTGGTCTAGAGACTAGTTCACTATCGTCAGACGGTGATCCCGTGGGCCAACAAGTGGTATCAGAGCCATACAAGCGCCGTCGTCATTCTAACCGATGGCGAGGACAGGCGGTTTAGAGTTGGGCGATGGCAGTGGCACTGTCATAGCTGCCCAGCCACTACCGAAGGTAGTTGTCCGCATGGTGCGGGAGGTCAGCGGCACCACTTGGCCGACGCTGACTCGCACTAACTATGGAGAGTGGTCGGTGACCATGAAGGTCAAGCTCAGAGCCCGACGGCTCTGGAATGCTATTGACAAGGGCACCGACGTGGAAGAAGACGACATGTCAACGTTGGAGGCTATCCTCGCTGCTGTACCGGCGGAGTATAGGGAACCGTTGGGGACGAAGAGCTCAGCTAAGGAGGCGTGGGAGGCCATTGCGGTGATGCGCGTTGGTTCCGACCGCGCAAAGAAGGCAACGACCCAGCTTCCGAAGCAGGAGTATGCAAACCTCAAGTTCAAGGATGGTGAAACAGTGGAGGACTTTTCCCTCCGCCTGCAGATGCTCATCAGCAAGCTGAAGAGCCATGGCGTCACCATCGATGAAGAGGAGGCGGTCTCCAAATTCCTCCACTCCGTGCCGGCAAAGTACATCCAGATCGCTCTCTCCATAGAGACGATGCTAGACTTGTCCACCCTCACCATCGAGGATGTGGCAGGCCGTCTGCGGGCAGTGGACGAGCGCCTGGAGCAGGCGACAGTAACGAAGGACAGCGGGAAACTCCTGCTGACGGAAGAGGAGTGGGCTGCTCGGCGAAACTCCGGGAAGGCAGCCTCCTCCAGTCGCGGTGGCAACGGTGAACATCATAGCAGGGCTTCTTCGGAGAAGAAGCAAATCGACTCCAACGCCTGTCGGTGTTGCGGGAAGATGGGCCGTTGAGCACGGGAGTGCCCAAATCGCAAGAAGGAAAAGAAGGCTCAGGCTCACCTGACGAAAGCCGATGATGAGGATGAGGCCACTATCCTTATGGCGACATTCTGTGCACTGCACGACGTCGAGGCCATGGAGAGGGAAGAGGCGACGACGGTGGAAGGATCTAGCAAGGCCCTGAAGACCGTCAACCTCGACGAACCATGCGCCCAAGTCCATCTTGGGCATGTGGGCGTCGACCAGGAGCAGCGGTGGTATCTGGACTTTGGTGCCAGTAACCACATGACGGGCTCCAAGGACTCCTTCTCCGAGCTCGACGGTGATTTTACCGGTACGGTGAAGTTTGGTGACGGCTCAAGGGTGGCTATCCAAGGGCGCGGCACCATCATCATCAGATGCTAGAACAGGGAGCACCACGCGCTAACGGATGTATACTACATCCCGCAGCTGCGTTCCAGCATCATTAGCATTGGTCAGCTGGATGAGCGCGGTAGCGAGGTTCTGATCAAGGACGGCGTTCTGAGGATCAGAGACCAGGAGCAGCGACTTCTCGCCAAGGTGAAGAGGTCCCTGAACCGGTTGTACCTGCTCGACCTGAAGGTAGAGCAGCCGGTTTGCCTGGCGGCAAGGCACTCCGAGGAACCGTGGATGTGGCATGCCCGGTTCAGACATCTCAGCTTCGACGCGCTTAGTCGGCTGGGGAAGATGGTCTGAGGGCTACCCCACATCAAACACGGAGGCGAGCTGTGTGACAGCTGCCTGGCCGGGAAGCAGAGGAGGCTACCTTTCCCAAAGGCGGCCAAGTATCGCGCAAAGGAAGCTCTCGAGCTAGTTCACAGCGACCTCTGCGGGCCGATCACGCCTGCTACATGTGGTGGTCGGCGGTACTTCCTCCTACTCATGGACGATTGCAGTCGCTACATGTGGCTACAACTCCTAACAAGCAAGGACGAAGCGGCAGTGGCGATCAAGAAGTTCAAGACGCGCGCGGAGGCCGAGAGCGGCAAGAAGCTCCGTGTACTGAGGACTGATCGGGGTGGCGAATTCACTTCGGTGGAGTTTGCTATGTACTGCGCGGATCAAGGTGTGGGGCAACATCACACCGCGTCGTACTCACCACAACAGAATGGCGTGGTGGAGCGACGGAACCAGACAGTGGTCGGCATGGCCCGATCCATGATGAAGGCCAAAGGATGCCGGCAAAAGTTCGGGAGAGGCGGTGACCACGGCGGTGTTCATCCTCAACCGCGCTCCAACCAAAGCCCTAACGGGCAAGACGCCGTTCAAGCTTGGTACGGGAGCAAGCCGAACGTGTCATTCCTCCGGACATTCGGTTGCATCAGCCACATCAGGAAGACGAAGCCGAACCTCACCAAGCTGGAGGACAGGAGCACACCCATGGTGTTCCTGGGCTACGCAGAGGGTACCAAGGCATACCGGCTCTATGACCCACGCAGAGACAAGGTGACTGTCTCGTGCGACGTTGTGTTCAACGAGGAGGCAGCTTGGGACTGGCACAG